TTCTGCCATTAAATAAAATGTCGTTGTTTGTGATCTTTCACGCGTGTTCGAAATGGATATATATTTATCTCAATAAAGCTTTGATTAACCGGAATGAAATACATGTCGATGATCGATTAAATAGATTCTAGATGAATTGGTATTTTTTAAGGCTATTTCACTGAAGAAAAATGGATTTGGACTATATTTTGTGATCAAGTATGTTTTTTGTTTTTTTGTTGGTTTCACTAATTCAAAACGGTGTATCTATAGTGTATACAAGTGCAACACTCTTCCGTGAATTTGCGTTGGGATACGTATTTTGTTATGTATCATGCGAATTTGGATCTAGAGATTTGAGTTTCATTCGTAAAAACGGCAGTGATGAGAACGTTTTCCATGTTGCATTTTTGCACTTAATTTCCATTTTAAATTGTACGCAAACGCAAAATCAAATTGTATTCAGATCGATCGTGGTGTAAATCTAATTAATCGAAAATGATGTCGTTGTTGTGAATCATCGAATGACGCTTTATCAAAACGAAATAATCAATAATCGAAAGATTTTAAAGAAATGATCTTGAGATTGATTCAAATAAGAAAAAAAAAGTGAAAAATGTGGGGAATTTAAAGGGAAACAAATGGTCACAACGAAAAATAAATCATCAAACCCATTTGAATGTGAAACATAACGAATTTAGGGGTGCAGAAGTGGTAATGCTTCCATGCGAATTGTTGTGCAGTATTGTGTATTTTTATACCTATGTTACCTAATAGCTAAAACATTTTCATCAATTTATTCTTACGAGTTGTTGTTTGTTCTTAAAGTTCATGTCATTTTTGTGTTTGTTGTCATTTAATAATTATTTCAATTTGGTTGCTGTTGTAATTTTCATTTAAAAGCGCTTCATTTGGGACGTTTCTTATCTCACATAATTCATAACACTAGATACATTGTATGTTTTTAACGTTACAGAAAACATTTTCTTTTGAAATTTAATTTTTTTTTTGTTATAACGTGGTCTCTTTAGAACGCTTTACTTGTATTTTACTTTAGAGTGTGTGTGTCCTTTGAAATGTTACATTTTTTTCTCCTTCGTTTCATCGAACGTGCGTGCTTGTTGGTTTGTTTTTTTATTTGATTCAATTACATAACATGAAACATCTTATCGTTTTCTAGTTTTCTACAATATTCATAACTGCTTTATAGATTTGTTTCCATTGTTGTCTTAGCAATAGAAGTTTACTCTAGGTATATGTTAATTTTTTTTTGGGTTTTTCTTAATTTATTGTTAAGATTCAACGAATTTCATGGCATTAAAATCGATTCAGACCGATTTCAATTCGCAAAAGCTGCATGTTTCATTCAACAACAAAAAATGAAATAAAATTCTTGTCATTGTGTGTTTCTCTCTCTCTTTCTTGCACACGAGATACTTAAAACCGATCCACTTCGTCTTGATTCTCATTTTCTTCTATCTCTAAACCATTTTTGGTTTCCTCTATGTCTTCACTACAAGATCAAAGATTTGCTAATTTTTTTTCTGTAAAAATATACAATTAACAAATATCTTTTATATCAGAGGAATAAACAACAAGAAAACTATCCCTAAAAAAACTGTAGTTACTTTCATTTATAATCATTTTGCGTAAGTATATGTACAAGGATATGGAAGGCGTTCGAATTGTGAAAAAGAATAAAAACAACGAGAGATAGATAGAGAAATAAGGAAAGAGAACAGATAACGAGAACAATGAGAGTCATCAGTGGAACAAAGAGAATGGCTGCCAATTGTTACTAAAATGTTGTTTATGTGTAGCTGTTGTGATATAGATTCTATGGCAGATGAGCGTCAAACAAACAATTACAGGCCGAAATTATATGGACTTTTTTCTGTTGCTGTTTTTCTTTTGCCAACGAACGTTCGTTAATATGTTAAGTTGCATCGATTTCATTGAGTGAATGTGATTTGTGGTCCGATTCGTTCAACTTGAGATAGTAATGATTGACAAAGATGTGAAATTGTTGTTGTATATAAAAACGATGTCAGTTGCTTTTGTTTTTTCGTCTTCGTTTTGATGCTAATGTACTCATTTGTGTGTATAAGTATGATTTGAAACCTTCCATATATATTTTGTTTTTTGTTTAAATTTTTTCTACTTAAGTTTCGTTCGGCAAAAAAATTGTGTAGCTTTTATTGTACCGTTTTTTTTATTATTATTTGTTTTTTGTTCGTATCTTTTGTGGAACTAACAATTGAATCCTTCTCTTATGGTGTTTGTAATGTGTGTGTAATGGCTTGTAAATGTAAGCAGCAAATGTTTTATTTAAAAAAAAAAAAACGAAAGAAACCACAAAAAACTAATTCGAATTGAAATTGACAAAATGCTAAACAAGATAATGGGAAGCTTGCTATCGGTTTTCACCTATTTCACCCACCCCACCCGCAGAAAAAAAATGCTACGATAAAAGTTCTTCCTTGAATCATCTTCGATTTAAAACACTATATAAGTTCAATCTAGGCTATTTGTTGTTCATTCTTCTTACACTTCTCTGGAACTGTCTTAAATTTGCTTTTATTTGCTCTTTGTTAATGACTACACTCACTATGCATATAGTAAAATGGTTTTTTTTTCATTATTTTTTCTCCCTTTTTTAGTACTTATTATTGTATTTCCATTTAAATACTTGCATTCGCGTCAAAATTTCACTTAAAACAATTTATTTATTTTTTTTTTCGTCTAGTTCACTGTATTTCTCTTTGTTTTACTCATTTTTTTTCTTCCTCAGTATATTATTCGATTAATTATAAGAAGCGTATTATGATTCAAATGCACATTTTGCAATGCCATTTGTTGTCTATTATTTATTTATTTTTAAATTTCTTCTATCTCGTTTGAGACTTTGATTAATTTGTGTGTACTTTATTTTCATTTGTTTTATTTTCGGTGTTTACACTCTTCTTCTTCTCGTTCGCTCATTCTAAGCATGCGATTGAGGTGAGAGTGTGTCACTACACGCCAGTAATAGTTTATCAAAATATAACAATAACATCGTTCACTTGTGTGTCGTGATCGTTATTTTCTTGTGTCGATGATTTGCTTATTGAGGATTTCAAATGGCTGTCTCTATCTGGCTGCCCTGAAAAGATGCTATGGCCTTTAAAAGATTCAAACTCAATTCGTTCCATTTCCTTTTCGTTCCCATTTTCATTTCGTTCCCAATTTATAACGCATATGAAATTCGATCAATCAAATGTCATTCGTTTGCTATCTATACATTCATCATTCGGTATCATATGCGGTATCTTGTGGATAGTATCAACTGGATACTATCAAAACTTTCTGTTGCCGGCGGCGGCTACATTTTCATTTTAAAATTTACTCTTTTCCATCACGTCGACAAAACGAGGCCAATCAATTAATAACGACAACTAGTTCGCGTTTTTTCTATGTGTTGTTCGCGATGGACAAGGAGAAATGAGGAAAAAAAACCGGCAAATGCTCATTCAATTTCAAAGGACTTGGACAGATGAACTTGCATTTGAAAGCGCATTATTTAGATGGATTGGCGTGTTCGTGTGGAAAGCGCACCCGATTGCTCACGTTAAAACCAATTTTTTGTTGTTATTGCAAAAGAAGATAAATGCGTCCGGATCTTATTGAAAATCTGGTACAGCACCAGATGAAGAAGAACTGAAAGCCCGAAAAATTACCAATCCGTTTTCAGAGACTATATCTTTTGTGTTCGTACTCAAATTTTCTGGTGTCGGTATTCATTTCTCATCGTTTAGTTATTTTTTTTTCATTTTTGTATCTTAGTTTGGTTTAGTTTTAGTTCAATTAAGTATAAGTAAAAGGTTTTTCTTTGTATATATGAATAGTTTTTTTTTAATTTCAACGATATGTGCATCCGAATTTTAAAAAAATACTTGATGTCATTTTTTAATAAGTTCATAATATGTTGTAAAGTTTTTTTTTCATATCTTCTTGTGTGTTTATTTGAATCTATTTATCATTCTAAAAGAGAAAAGGAGTTTTGAAGGATATATGTATGTATATATAGTATAAATAGGTTTACAATTTGTTGTTGTTGTTGTTGTGTGTTTGTTAGATAAATTTGTCTGAAGCAGTTCAGATCGAATTTTGTGTTGAATGTTTTTACTTTCGAATGATTCAGTTGTTGTCCTTGTTTTTAATGGCTAAAGTTTGGTTGTTGTGTGTGGTTCAGAAGTAGATTCGAAGATGCATTTTAGTCACTCGAAACAAGTTTCCGTTGCGTCTACTTCGTTAATAATTGATTATACAATAAGAATATATAGTGTTCAATTAAAGCGTTATTTCCATGTGTGTTCTTTTTTAAATGGTATGAAAAGGTTTTCGTGTGTGTTGGTTTTTGTTAGTTGTTGTCTATAAGTGAACGATTTACACTTTAACTACAGTAGGAATTAGCATATATTAAATTAAGTTTTTAAATGTATTTTTTTTTCATCATTGTTTATGTGAGAGTGAGTTGAGTGATTGGATCGATCGTCGGTATTATATATATATATGTGACGACAACGCGTTGGTTTTTTTTTTGTTTGGTTTTGGGTTTTTTTTTTGATTAAGAAAGAGGGATATTCGAGAGGAATAAATTAACTAAACGCAAACTATCCCAAATGATCCGGATCTCATTTGCTGCCACTAAAATCAATGGATTTATCTTATTATTTTTGTGTTCATCTCCCATCGTGTGCGCGCGTGTCTTTGCAACAACCCACTCGATTGAGCCAGATAATCGAGCAACACAGCAAGTGTGTGTGTGTGTTCAAGTTTGTTTAGCAACAGTAAGTCCTATAGTTTGGGATGCTTTAAGATCTTATTTTGATATTTTTTTGTCATTTTCGAACATTTTTTTTTGTCTTTTACTAAGGCCGTTTATGTTTTTTTTTATCATCCTATTTTCCTATTTTTTTGTATAAATGTAATTATTAAATAAATTGAGCAAATATTGCTTTTCCATTTGAGTTCGTTTATCGTTTTTATTTTGTATCGTTTCGTTTGTAGTTGTTTTGTCGTATTTCAGTTTGCAAAGGGCGACGTGCAGAACGGGTTGTTTTTTTTTCTAGACACACGGACTAGAAAGTATACACTAACTTCGACAGTGGAGTTCGACTGAGTTGGTTGCCGTTTATATTCATCATAGAGAGGAAAGACAAACTATTTGAGTGTTTTTTTTCAACGTCAAAAAAATTTGGTTCGAGAAATGAAACGCGAGAAATTATTATTGAATGAAGAACAGTATTGTAGGTTAGAGTAAAAGTTGCATGCAAATGTGCAAAGACCATCACATATTGTTTGGTGTGGCCACATTTGAAGAGCTTTGTTATGGTTTGTTCAGGGGAGGAAATGTTAACTGGGAGAGAATCAACTAGAAACGTGAATAAACGAAATTCGTAACAACTGGATTAACTCATCCATGTGGTGGATTCACAATTTGGTTTTTTTTCTTCCTTTAATTAAATAAATTCTGTATATAAATTGTATCGACACATGGTTTTTTTTGTTTGCTTCTTCAGTTTATTCATAATATATTTTGTTATTGGTTGAGTAGTCTCATTGAATCAGAAGTTTCATTTGCATTTTGTTGTTGTTGCATTTTTATTTGCCTCTGAAATTGTGCGCCAGGGTTTTATTGCTGAATCTGAACTGTTTCCGAAACGACGAAAAAAAAACTCCTGCCTTGTTTTACATTGTTGTAGAGTGTGTAACAAACACACTGTGTGTGTGTGTGTGAGTTGCTGTGGCGAATTTGCATATTTTGTTCGTAAATTTAAAACAGTTCATTTTCAGAAAATGTTTTGTTGTTGTTGTCGTTATAGCCAAAAAAATATCGTGCTCAGAAATTGCGTTTGCATTTTTAATAGTTGTTTTTTTTTGCTGCTGCTGCTGCTGCTGTTGTTGTTAATATTTTCATGTCTTACATATTTTATGTATATAATTTCGTCGTTGAATTCATTTTTAAACTTTTTAAAAGCATTTAAAAATCGTATTTTGCGGATAAAAAGGACCTGATATTCGCTCTCTACCGATAAAATGCATAAAATTTCTTGAAAATCTATCGTGTTTGTGTGTATGTGTGTGTTTGTAATTTTTTTTCTCCCGTAAATGTCTCCAAACTCAGTGTTTTTCTTCTTCTCCTTCTTCTTCTTCTGGTTGTAGCTGTTTGCTCGTTCTTGATTTTGCTCGAATAATTTCTCGAACCTAACATGCACTCATTTTATTGCCTTATCTTCAAGCATAATTCACGAGTTTTTTCGGTACTTGTTTCTTGTTCGGTGTTGTTCTGCCGTCGAAAATACTTTGGGTTGAAGGTAGTCTATTTTGTATATATATATGTTTGTGTGTGTGTGTGTGTATGTTTGAAATGGGTCGGTTGTTACCTTTTTTTTATTCTGTCATCACACGTTTAAAATGGACACGTCAAGTGTTTGTATTCGAACATTAATGAAATGGCCACGAATACGAAATAGAGCAAAAACATTGTCACACCAAGACCTTTGTTCATACGCCATTGGAAACAAGCTATTGATGCAATGACAAATAACAGCATCATGAATAGAATGGCAATCGAGCATACCATTCCGCATGAATTGACTTCGACCGGCGCCTGGAAAAATATACCATAGAGCAGCCAAGGTATCGGCAAACTGGCGAATGGCAAAGTGGAAGAGAAAGAAAGAAACATGAAACGGATCATAAGTTAAAATTAAATTGTAGATATGCAATTGTTGAATTGTGTGCGCATCGTTGAACAGCTAACTGCAAACGGCAGAACAGGACAATGCTCATTTGTGCTTATTCTTCTGCCACTAGATCAATAGCGAGCGAAAAGCATTTCCTGAGCAAAATCTTTTTCTTGATTTCAATGCGATTTTCGTGAAGACAATGCGAAACGGCGATTTGTGTGTTTGTGCATTGGATTGTCTTTCTTCTTTTTTTTCCCACAATTTGTTTTCGCTTGTTTCTCATCAGTCTTCATGAGTGCACAATTCGATGGACACAAAATGAAGTTTATTTAGTTTGATGCAAACAAACAGAAAAGTAAAAGCAAATCAAATTGATTTCGATGTGAATTGTACGTACCCAACAGTGACGTCGAAAATGTTACTTCCAACCGAACTTGATACAGCCATATCGCCAAATCCTTTTCTCGCCACGATTACTGACGTTATTAAATCCGGAATGGATGTGCCAGCGGCAAGAAAAGTCAAGCCCATCACCTAATTGCAACGAGAAATCCGAATTACGAAACAGCAGCGGCAAAATTGAGCAGAGAAAATGAACTGATTAGCACGAGACAATGATAAATTATACATGTTTTGTAAAAAATCGTAAAGAGGACAGCGCACAATTTGTCAAATGATAAATTGTTGGCAATATTTTCGTTCACTCTGTGTGCGTTTTCCTTTTTTTCCATTTTTCCCCCCATTATTTACCTCAGGCGGAATATCAGCCGTTTCACCGAACACGTTCGCCCACCACACCATAAGATATGAATATGCGGCTATCCAAGCGATCGAACCGAGAAATGTTACGACGAAAAACCGTTTACCGCGCGGCGTTCGTGTATCTGGAAGTGTTAGCCATAGTGGCACCAATATTGGTGCAACGAGCACGTAGCTCAAACGCTTTCGACCCTCTTTGGGCCACGCCATATCCAATGGTTCGTTCACATCTTCTAAATCGTTACTTTGCTACAGTTCGAAATGGGAGAGAGAGAGAGAGAGAGAGAGAGAGAGAGGAAACTCAATGAAAGCGAATCAAATAAATCAAAGCGTAGAAGAAAAAAATTGAATTGGAAAACAGTTGGCAACTGACGAAGGGAGATGAAGGATGAGAGACAAAGAGCAAGAAAAATTGAGCTTTTACCGAATCGAGTGTAGTGTCTATGTTGCCATTTGGTCGGTCTCCAACTAGAGTCGTTTCTTTGAAATTGATTTTAACGTTATTGGCAGCTGTGGATGTTGCGGCTCCTCGTTGTGGTTTTGTTGCATCAAGTAAAACTTTTAAGGAAGCAATAGCGTGCAATTGCGTTGCTTTTTCATCGACTTTTCCTGCAGCGACCCGAACAAAAGGACAAACGACAAATTTGGTCAAATATATTCTCTTTCTTTTTTTCTCAATTAATTCCACTTCCTCTTATGTATTTGTATTAGTTGCTTTGACTCATGTGCAGCCAAACGGCACAGCACCAACAAATACACTCGAGAGTAAGTCGGTGATAATAAACGGAAATTGAAAATTACCGTCATGCATTGGGTCAATGGTGTGTATCATCAGTTGTAGAAGGCCATGTCGAAATTTCGCACCAGTTACGGCTGATGAATGATTTGTACCGCTACCGCCCGGAACAGCTCGCGTTTCAGATGCAGCTCTCGACGTCATCGATCCACCTGGTTGTGTTGCCATTGACGTTTCGGATGAGTTCGCCGCATTATTCTGCATCATTGGTTTGTTTGTTTGTTTTTTCGTGATTTTTTAGTTTGACATTTTGCAATTGTGTTTTTTTATTTCATTTGTGAACACACAAAAAAAGACGAAAAGTAAAAGAAATGGCAAATGATTAATATTCATTTTGATCGGTTCAAAAATGCATGGAACAATTAAAACAAAATATTCATTGAACGTTTAAATGGCAACTACATACATTGACAGCTAAGCAACAAGAACAAAAATGATTGTAATGCAAACAAGAAACGAACGAGGGGCGAGAAAAACGGAAATGTTTTTATTTTCTCAACAAAGTACAAGCCTATTTATTTAGAAAGAAAAAGGAGAAATAAATCAGCATATGACTAGAATTGGGTCATTATATTCAATATAAAACGTTTCTGCTTGCTTCATTTTCCAGCAATTTATGCAAGAATTTTAAAATAGGTGTTTAACATACAGACAACTGAATGGGCAAGCGGAATAATGAAACGTAATTCTTTCTTTTGAATGAAGTGCCTCTGAGAAATTTTTTCAGTAAAAGTGCCCCACAAAAATATTGTCTGAATAAACGACACGTGAATTTGTTTTCATGCAAAAAAATTCATGTACCACTTTTACTGAAAAAAAATTTACGGTGCGATTCAAATTGAACATTTTTGGTGGGGCACTCTTTCATACAATATTTTTCGGTGACGTCACTCGTATTTATCACATTGTGCAAATTATGTGATAAGGAGTCCGAATTTCGATGTGGCGATAACACTAATGGATTGGGCACAAAAAATAAATGTATTAGAATCGAAAAAAGAATTTTAAACATTTTTTTTTCGATGGAAATTCGAGCTTCTTATCACATAATTTGCACAATGTGATGAATACGAGTGAAGTCACCGAAAAATACTGTATGAAACAGTGCCCCACGAGAAATGTTCAATTTGAATCGCCCCGTAAATTTTTTTTCAGTAAAAGTGGTACATGAATTTTTTTGCATGAAAACAAATTCACGTGTCATTTATTCAGACAACATTTTCGTGGGGCACTTTTACTGAAAATTTTTCTCAGAGGCACTTCATTTAAATAAAGAATTAAGTTTCATTATTCCGCTTGCCCATTCAACTCTATATGGAACAATCGTCAGACATTTTTTTCTGTCATTGTTTCGGAACAAATTTTGCGTGTACAGATCAAATTGAAAAACAGTGTCGTGTGATATTTAAATAGTCTGCCACGACAATTATTTCATGTTTTCCTTTCATTTGATTTATTGGTGTTTAAAAAATGAGAGAGAGACACAGAACGAGAGAAAGAGCAAGAGGAAAAAGAGCACAAACGACACGATAATTTGATAAATTTTCATAATTTGATTCAACCAAGCAGAAACGCGTCGAAAAAAGCCTCAAATTGAAACATAATTCGAATATACACGAAAAATATGGATGTAAAAACTGTTGCATTACCATTAGCATACCAAAATATGTATATATATGTGTAAATTATTGAAAGGGCATTACGAAACAGGTGAAAAGAAGAGAAGAAATTAACATCAAAAGGAAAATATTTATGATATAAAATAGAGAAAGAGAGAGAGAGAGAGAGAGAGAGAAAGAGTTGATCGTGCGACTTTGGACACACACAGAGAAAGGATATATTTAATTTGGAATCGAATTTTTAACGGTATTTTCCATTCACAATTACGAATTTTTTACGAACATCTATAAATTATATGATATAGTTTGCCTTTCACTGTGTATCGGGCAATATTTTTGTATATCGTAATGCTTTGGGCAGTATATTAACATAGCTATGTAATAATTGTGTAAGTGATAGTTTGACAAATACTCGACAAATGCATACACAGGAAAAAGAACAAAAAAAAGAACCAAAAAATAAAGTCGAAGAGATTCTTATTTTGATAGGATTTTAGTCGGTTTAATGGGATTTTCAGCAAGGTTAAACAATCAACGGAAAAGACTCAATAAATCAGAGAAACAAACAGCTTCAGATAATATGTGTATGTGTGTGTGTGTGTACCTGGTTTTACTGGGGGGGAGGATGGAATAAAAAGCTATTTGTGTAGAATGTCAACAAGTTGATTTTTCGTACTTGTATGCATAGCAATGGAATTCAAAAGAGAAAACTAGTTCAATGGATTTATTGGATTGAATTTTGTGCGCTCCGTTTACGAATTGAATGGATGTGGCGTCAGTTCGAAAAAAGTTATGCAAACGAAAAGTAAATGTGGTTAAGTTTGCATAGTAGTTTTTCCAATCGGTTGAAATGATGCTCGATTTTTACATTCAAATTCCATGTTGGTCCACAATTTTTTTTGGATCAAAAGTTGGGCCACGATTTTCATTAAAAGTTTAAAAGTCTTTTAAATTCCATGACTTAAACATAATTCGGGGATTTTTCATTTATTTCTTTTATTTCGATGAATTCAATATATAAACATTTAATCGATTTTATTTTTCCATCCAGATTGTACCCACTAATGGCTTTGAGTTTTTCCCCACGAACAACTCGTATGTTCAAATAGTTTTCCGTTCGCTGTGTGTTCAGACAGTGTTTTGCGATTGTGTATTGACGTTTTAAAAAAAAAGTTTTCTCCTATTGAGTCAAATGTGAGTGTTTGTTCATGTATCCAGAAAAAAGCGGAAGAATATCCGGGCTGGCGCGTTTTGGGCAATGTGCTGACGTCAAACAAAGTACATGGGAATCATCCTCAGCGGACTGCTTTCTTAAAGTTCAACAACTTTTTTTTCAAAATTTCTTTTCGTTCAGTTGAGAAGTGCCCTTTCCTCTTTGTCACATTACAAACTCAATCTATACTTGCTTTGTACTCCCAATTCGAAGTTATTAATTCCATATGGTGTAAACTCGTAAATAATTAATGAAAAAAATGCATATTTAGCAAGTGAGTTGGGGGATTGGGAATCTTGGGATTGTGCAAAAAAAATCAATTAGGAAAAAAAATTGGTGTTTTTTTGTTTCGTTTCATTTTTGTGCTTTATCTAATAAATTAGCTAGATTTTGTTTTTGGAGGGATGTTCATTTTGTACCAAATTGCTTCCTCAATGTATTTTGTTGCCAATTTAAACGAAATCAACGAATTTACAAAATCAAAAAGGAAAAAAACTCAGAGTTTAGGTAAATATATTCATTGGGTTCAGCGGAAAAGAGGTTCATTTTATGTGTGTTTTTTTTTTTGCTTTGTAAATTGGACTGAATTGAGTATTTGATAACAAAAACCGAAAAATCAAAAACTGAAATAAAAAAAAAACTGGCTGAAAATGAGATACAAACAAACAGCTGCACCACATGCATGGTTCCACTACTTACTGACTTATCAGGCATTAGTTGATCAGTGCTTCGAACTCTGGTCACCTTATTTTTGTACAGCATTTTTTTAACTAGGCACTCCATTTGATGATTCCATTTCATGAACACCGCGTAGCATACATAGATTGAAAACAATATCAACGCCTCCCACCAGTAAATTTTATTATCACGAAAAAAATAGATCAACACTAGCAAACTAACACTGTAAAATGTACAATCGCGAAACAATGGCCACCATGTGAGGCTGAGTAGGGTTTTTGAGAATATTGCACACATTCCGATAACAAATAAAATGTTGAACACGGCCGAACCAACAATTGTACCAATGCCAACATCATCAAATGACACAAATACACCAATCACCGATGTAAACAGTTCCGGGGCACTGCCACCAGCTGCCATAAACGTTGCGCCTGCCACATCATCGGTGATATCCAACTTTTCAATAATTACGTCCAGCGAAGGCACAAAGAATTCATCGCAAACTATAGCTAAAGCGACAAACATATACATCACTCCAATTATGTGTAAAATAATAGCACCATTGCGACGCTCTTCCAGAGTGAACAAATCCCTCGGAAACAATGGATCCTTTGCGGTTGCATTTACTTCCACTAGAGATAGAAATGGGCGAGAGAATAAGAGAGAGAAAAAAAAACGAAAATATGAGTATAAAAATAAATTTAGAAATTGTTCGAAAAATTCTGATCAAATTAACACACTCCATCTTCAATCAACCAAAAGTTTTTCGTTTCACTTCACGCATTCAATCAAAAAAAAATATTTTTAAATGCAAAATAGCATTCCAGCACTATAATATGGTCGGATTGCTATGGAAAAACGAGGAAAACGGCTTGAAGTGTATCTTTAACACAGTCCGTTTCAGAACCGCATGGTACGTGCTTTGTCGGATTAAAGTGTTATAACAAAATTACATAAGCAATAAAAAAATTTTTCTTCTGCTGGTTGCCATTTCGAAAGCACAATGTCTTCATTGTATTATATTAAAAGCTCGAAATAATTCCATCACATTTTTTCCACGAATTCATAACCAAATACGTGAAATGACTGCAATCACTTCCATGTTGTGATGTAATGTGTGCGGTTCGTAAACTATATTTTCCGTTTGCTCTATTTTCCCTGTGTTCTCTTTCTTTTTCGCTACTGCTGCCGCTGCTACTGCTGCTTTTTTGGCCCCTACTCCATTTACCACTGAAATAAATGGCTATTTATTTGTTTTCACAACTTTCTTCAAGACACTTAAATTCCAAAGCTTGTCATAGCAGTTCGCTTCGCTGAACACGATTGCGTCAATCCGCTCTATATCCAATTTCGAGTGCCGCACTAAACATGAAAAACCATTAGCTGGATAAAACATGGAAGAATAGCACATCAACTTTACTCGAAGGCAGCGCAACTCACGCTCATTCTCTTTGAGTTACCCGAAAACTGTCGCTTTTTAATTAATACCAAAGACTTTGTTGAATTGATAACGCGATGCTATAGAGAATGTTGCAACTTCATTCATTCATTTCACACTCGCAAAGTATACACGTATACATAATATGGCTATAGGAAATTCTTGGCTTTTATTTATGGGAATCTTTTGAGTCTGTGGATTTACTTACGACGCAAAAAATGATTCATCCGACTTGAAATTAACGCACACATTTTTCCATGACATTCAAACTCGGCAACTTTTTCATACTTCCACGAAAATCTGTATGATAAACACCTCTTGGTTACATGCAAATCTTTCTGAGAAGAAAATCTCGACTCTACAATGTCTCTTAACTCAAACAAAACTGTATTTATTCAATAGTTTGATTTCATCATTAGTAATTTAATAGTTTAGTGGTTTATTCATTTCCTGCAGATGTTTATAACGTCAAAATAATGATTATTATAAAGTCAAACAGGTTTGACCAGATACACTTTAGCCAGACAGCACGCAAATACCCCGTCGCTTTGAAAAAACATAAATAAAGTTTTTCAAAAGTACAAGTAAACCAACAGTTCCGCTTATAGGCGTCACGAGCTAAGTGATGCTAATTACATTAAAGACTCACATAGTTTCATATAATTTTAATCATTTGATAATGATTGTCAATGCAAAAAAAAAAAAAAGAGATTGAAATGGAAAAACCACAATTTTGCAGTGAAAAATAATTAGCAAATGATTTATGCCTCTGCTAAGACGATCTAATTATAATAATCAGTTGATTGCAAATTGAAATCGTATCAATTAATCCCGACACCGTATATACGTTGAAATAATTTTTTTTAGCGGATTGAACATGCAACCTGTCAATTAGGAATAAAATCATATTCGATTTCGCAGAATTTCTACAGCTATACTATTTAAGCAGTTGATAAATGATGAATTTTTCAGTTCCGACGAGTCTTTCGCAAAGTTAAATACGGATTCTGTTTTTCTTCTATTGTTAAAGAACAATGTTTGTTGCTAAAATTTTGTCAATTGCCATCGTAGTTTGTGCTACTATTTCATTCCAAGAAGGTAAATCACGGTGATATTGATGAAAAAACTCCAAAAGGATTATTAGTTCAAACTAAAAAATTTCTTTTAAGTGTTTGCCATTCTATGTTGGAGATGTTCATCGGATAACCCAAATGCGGCAGCATTTTGCCAAGACAATTTGAATGAAACTTTAATTACTGACGAACAACGAAGATGGAGCTATGTGGATTGCAGTCCACCACCAGGACACCGGAATTTGTTGGAAGCACTCAACCAAAAGATCATTTGTAAAAAAACGATACAGATTGGTGAGTAGATTTTTTTTCGTTCCCATCTAAACAATTCGAAATTTAAATCGATTTGAAGAGCATCCAAATTGCGTGGGAATGAAAAATTTAATGTATTGTTTACATCCAGAATACGATTGATTATCTCTCCGAAAATAGTCTACAATTATAAATTTCCTTGTAGCTTATCAAGAAGTGTTCCAGATGATTTGTTATCAACAAGTGGGCTGATAAGTGATTAATGCACATACATTGGGAGTATGATTGCAAAAGAGCAACTAAGATTTGATTTTTTTTCTGGACATGTGAAATCTCCATATAATTTACACTTAAAAAATGATATAGACGTTTGTGACGTTGACCAGAAATTTATTTGAAAAATTAAAGATATCTAGGATGTTGAAAATGAGTACCTGTAGGTACGTGTATTGTAGGTAAATCACTGTACTTTTTGCAATACAAAGTCTTTGAAACATACACCACTCTTAATCTCATTATTATCTAGATACTTTTAAGATGTTTTAATGTTCAATTGAAAAAAAAAATCTTAAAATTTCAAATATTTTTTCATGGTTTGTGAAGAAGACTACTATTTATTATTTTAGTCTGATTAAAAAAATATGATAAAACATCTTGAAAAATATCTAGATTCTTCTAAGATAATATCTTATCTTCTCAATTTTTTAGATAAGATGACAGCATCTTATCTAGATACATTTTATTCAAAATGAAATAAATCTTATCTTATCTAGATACAAAAATCATTATGACTGCCCAACACTGCCCATAGATACAGCCGAACATCAAACTCAAAAGATGTGTGCAGTCCACAACACCCAAAGTAATAGGGAAGGATTTATGCTTGAATCCCATGAAAGATTAGAAATAATTGTGACCTACATCATTTTGTTTCACTTCAGTCAACAATAAAAAATCGAAGCCAAAAGCCATTGATAAAACGGGAAGAATACCTCGAAAAATGGCTGCAATACCAATGGCGTCGCATGTTAAACCAATGCTACCAAATATTATTATGAATACCTCAAAAAGTGTTCCACTTGAATATTCGATTAAACATAAATCCACTTTGAATGACGGTGAACGGTGGCTCATCTAATTTTCAGCTACATATTTAATTCGGTCGTTCTCAAATCACACTAGGTAACAATATTATGTTCGAAAATCCAAATCAAAATTTGAAATTTAATTGAGATGTACGAATATTTGCAATTAAATTTGATTTTGGCGAGAATCGATCCGATTTTCGCACGATATGATTCCCATTTGGAATTCTAATAAATTCCAAATTGATTATTATCAACGGCGGTGGACCATTAAATGTTTCACGTCCATTTTAAATGTGGTGGGTGGGAGGATGAGTGCTATGAGTTCTGCATATTTCATTTGGTTTGTGTTTTGAAAATTTACTTTGATGGTTTGCCATGCCATACAAAAACATGATTAAATTTAAAATTGTACTCGTGTGTGTGTGTGTGTGTGTGTGTGTGTGTACTGTGTATAGTTTTTATTCTGTTCTTGTTGTGTTACGTTGACTTGGTATATTTATTTGGTCTGTTCTTTCATCCATTCATTCCATTTGGAATGGTTTTTTGACCGAAGCGATGCATGTTGCGTTGTTTAGGACGCAAAAATGTGGACATTTGTTTGAATGAAATGCGTGTAACCCCATGTACGTACATGCCCGTTTTGCCTCAATGCTGATAATTGCTTTAAATAAAATGATGTTGTTGTGCTCCATTGTTAATGGTATTTGCCAACCACAAACATCATTCCCGTTGAACATAACCATCTAATCGTTGCTCTCATTTTCTCTCTGCAGTTTCTCTTTCTCGTTCTCTCCCACTCGTTCGCCCACTCGCTTGCTCTGTCTGTTTCTGGCCCAGTGCCGTTCATCGTGTGCCATCCGAAAAATGAAGCGATTTTTATCCAGCGATAGCAGCTGGCTTTTTTTATTATGTTTGGTGTGTTGTCTTCTTTTCATATTGGCCATAGTCGAAGCGGAGTAGGCGATGTGCGATGCTGTTTGTGCGCACTGTGGGCGTCACAAGCATACACACACACAAACTAGAATAAAATTTAATGCTCAGTGGGGTTCAACGTTCAACGCACTTGACAAGTGGTATTTGAATAATTGAAATGAAAATTAATAATTCATATAAATTTTTGGTCGGAGCTTCATCATCATCATTATCATTCTGCGAAACTGCACTAGTGCTTACTGCCTCTTACACACACACATAACTATAAAGAGAAAGAGCTATGGTTTGTCAGTCGTTTTTGAGTTGAAATATGATTTTGGACGGATTTTTGAAGACTCATGCACTCATACACTATACTCATATTTCTCTTCTCACAATCGCATTCCAATGAATGGTGCCGTTGGAACTTGCCCAAATTAAAATCCGATCGCACGAACATACAAAATCCAATGCAGGCGAAAAGCTCCGTCTTTTTTGTCTCTGACGAATGTGACTTAACAGTATGTGAATTTCTTTTCGGAGTTTCGTTTCGGAATACAAACATACCAAAATGACATGGCAGAAAAAAGAATGTTTTCATTCCAGTTCGATGCGCCATTAATAGAAGCCCCTCATAAACTTGTATTGCGCTGTGTGTTGTATGTTGTGTAAAGGACTTTTCTTTTGTTTTCGTGAAGCACTATCAGGCGCGATAAAATAAATTGAAAAGGTTTTTAACCTATTTAATATTTCACAACTCTCAATTTATTATAAAGAACATACTGGCATGGTGCCGCAGCATGGGAAAAGCTGAAAGTTTCATGTATATTATGTGTACTAGTATATACGTATGTGGCAAATTTTGTGGT